TCTCCCCCTCTCTCCTCCCTTTTCTGCCCATATTCCGTCCCTGCGCCTTCAATCTCCTCATCCTCTCCTCTTCCTTCTCTCTTCTCCTCTTCGCCTCCTGCTCTCCTCCTCCTCTCCTCCTCCTTCCTCCTTCACCTGTCATCCCCTGCTTCTCTTCCTCTCATCCTTTCTCTCCCCTCCCCTCCTCCCTACTTTCATCTGTTCTGCTCCTCGCCTGCCAATCCTCTGTTCCTCCTTCTCGTCGCTCCTCCTCATCCTGTTCCACCTCCTGCGTCCTCCCCTCCTCCTCCTTCTCCCGTCCTCATACTCCTCCTCTCCTCCTCCTCCTCCTCCCCTTCCTCCTACCTGCGCCCTCCTCACCTGCTCCCTGATTCCCCTCCTTCCCTGCTCTCCGCCTCCCTACTCCGCCTCCTCCTCCTCCTCCACTCTCTCCTCCTCCTCCTCCTCCGCATCCTCCTCCTCCACCTCTTCCTTCCCTCCTCCTCGTCCTCCTTCTAGGGTATTGTTCTTAGTCTGAGCATTCATATTTTTTCTTAGAATAATGTTTATGTGTATCAGTCCTTTGTTTATTATAGTGTTGGTCGTCTTCTTAGTATGGTTATGTGTGTTCGGCGTCGTCCTCCTCCTGCCTCCTCCTCCTCCTCCTCCTCCTCCGCCTCCTCTTCCTGCTCTTCCTCCTCTTTCTCCTCTTCCTCCTCTTTCTCCTCTTCCTCCTCTTCCTCCTCTTCCTCCTCTTCCTCCTCTTCCTCCTTCTCCTCCTCCTCCTCCTCCTTCCTCCTCCTCCTTCTCCTCTTCCTCCTCCTCCTTCTCCGCCGCCGCCACCGCCACCGCCTCCGCCTGCGCCTCCGCCTCCGCCTCCGCCTCCTTCTCCTCCTCCTCCTCCACTCCTCCTCCTCCTCCTCCGCCGCCGCCGCCGCCCTCCGCCTCCGCCTCCTCCTCCTCCTCATCCCCATCTCCCCTCCTCCTCGCTGCTCCCTGCTCCCTCCTCCTTCATCCTTCCTCCCTCCTCCACCCTCCCTCCTCCCTCCCCCTCCTCCTCCTTTTCCTCTCTCTTTCCTCCTCTTTTCCTCTCTCCTCCTCCTCCTCCTCCTTTTCCCTCCTCCTTTCTCCCTCTCTCCCATCCTCCGCCGCTCCCATTATCCCTCCTTAATTCTCCTCATCTCCTTCTCCTCCTCTCCTCCTCCTCCCCTGCTCTTCCTCCTTCTCTCTTGTCGTCCTCCTCCTCCTCCTCCTCCTCCTCCTCCTCCTCCCTTTTCTGCTCCTCTTTCTCCTCCCTCCGCCGCCCCTCCTCATCACCATCGCCTCCTCCTCTTCCTCCTCCTCATCATCACCATCAGCAGCATCATCATCGTCATCCCCTCCTCTACAAATAAATCATGTGAATGCTACTCTCCCTCCTCCCCTGAAGTTGTCTGGAATATCTCCCGCCCAGGATTTCAAAATTGATGTTTGTCAATGACATTATACATGATCGGTGTTTGAGACTTGGGTTCCGCTGCAGCGTGGGCCTAGTGTGCGGATCGGCGCGTTGCTCCCGTCGTTCAGAATTTCGCTCTCGCCCCGGCGCGGGCCACTTTTCTGGATCCGAGTCTTGCTTCATCTTGTTTCCCCCCCCAGCATGTCCCCTCATCCGCCTTCTCCTGGTCCTCCTGTTCCTCCCGCTCCTTCCACTCCAGTTCCTGCTGCTGCCTTTCATTTCGCCATAGCTCTGACCAATTTTCTGAATCCGAATCCTTCTCATCGTTGCCGCCCCACTCATTCCCCCTCCTCCGTCTTCCCCTGGTCCTAAAATCCCTCCCGATCCTTCCGCATTAGTTCCTGCTGCTGCTGATCGTCCTCATCCTTTTCCTCCCTCTCATCCTCCATCCCACCCGCCACCTCCTCCTCCTGTGCACGCATCTCCTCGTGTTCGATTGCGAATAGAACGAAATTGTTTTTCAGTGTGAATCGCAGGCCGGCTATGACACGCGGCCGGGGAAAGAGATGAGACGCGAGCGAACCTAGCTTGTCTCCTGCCTCTCTCCTCCTCCTCCTCCTCCTCCTCCTCCTCCTCCTCCTCCTCCTCCTCCTCCTCCTCCTCCTCCTCGTCCTCCTCCCTCCTCCTTTTTCTCCTCCCTCCTCCTCCCCTCCTTATCCCCTGCTCCTCCCTCCTCCTCACTCCTCCTGCCTCTCTACTCCTCCACCCTCATCCCTCGTCGTCCTCCTCCTCATCCTTCTCCTCCCTCGTCCTCCTCCCTCGTCGTCGTCCTCCTCCTCCTCGGAATCCTCCATCCCCCCCTGCTCCTCATCGCCCGCGCGGGCAGTCCTCTTCCTCTTCCCTTCCTCACGGACCGCCGTCGCCATGCAACGTGGTGCCGCTTTGCCATCAAGGGCCCTGGGGGCTTCTCCCAGGGCTCCAGGCCTGCCAGGAGCGGTCTGGGGCTATCGTTAGCTCGGGCACGTCCTCCGACGGGCGGATTCCGGAGGACAACTCTGCAAGAGTCACAGCATATCTCAGAAT